CCACCTGATCCCGTTTGTCCAAACATGAAGGAACATACTGAAGTCATCATTTGAATATGGGATACAGATTTACACTCAGCTTTACGTCTCATCCTACCTGGTACCCATTCACTGATGGTGAAGAGGGGCATATTTCGAACAAGGACAACTGCATGGGGAGACACCTAGTTACTTGTGTTTCAGGGCGGGACAGGAGCGAACTGCAAAAACTAAGCTGTCGAACAGCGGTCACCCATCCGCCACCACCGTCACTCAACGTCAACGGATGTTTGACGTGTACGCACTACTCAGGACCACGTGTAGACTAACGCTTAGTCTCTAAATATATAAAATTTTGATTGTAACAAATAAACCCATTTAAATTAAAAGGAGCCCCAGGGAGACCAGAGATTCTGAACCTGGGAAATCTAGACTTGCTTCATTTAGGGCATTAGCACTGCAAGGAGGGCTAGGAGGTAGGGAAAATAATGTGGTTCAGGGACTGTGAGACTTACTAGACCACGTGTCACCAGCAAAATTTCAACCTATTCACATGAAGAAGATTAAGTGGAGATCCAACGGCACCCATCAGACAGGCCATGATGGACAGAAATAGAATATTCTCTCGTGCCATCAGCCATTTAACTTCAAAATCTGAGTTCACGTTACTCAAAATGAAGCTATAAAGAACTGCTCGCGCGTTCAATTACCTTTGATTTACCTGAGCTGATTACATGGGTCGCTAATGACAGTAACAAGATAATGAAGTCATTCTTTGAATATCAGATAATTACATATGGGAGTTCATCACTGTGATGAAAGGAATGTTTCCATGGTAACAGAGACACAAGCCTAATTTGCTGCAAAGAGTCGGTATATCCTGGACGAGTGGAGGACCACCATCAACAGGATGATCGATGACGATTGGTAAGAAAGAGTATCGTTTAAGACAAATCTCATGGGATTATACTAGCAAACTGTTAGTCTTCTTAGTTAGTACGTTGGGGTTAGGCGGTGCGGTGAATATGTTGTAGGTTATTCATGAGCATGATTCCTTTCTCCAAACATACATATTACAAACTTGTCGATGGGGCGGCGGGGTAGCCAAGTGGTTAAAGCGTTGGCGCGTCACGCCAAAGACTCGGGTTCGATTCCCCACATGGGTACAATGTGGGAAGCCCATTTCTGGTGTCCCCCGCCGTGATGTTTCTGGAATATTGCTAAAAGCGGCTTAAAACTAAACTCAGTCAGTCAGTGGTAATGTCGATTATCTATTTTAAGCACCTGCTGCTGGCAACCTTTTATACAAAGCCAACAAAATTGTCGTTTTCAACCTATTCTCAGAGCAAAGTATATCTCGACAAAGTCGGGTGTAAATGGAACAGCTGGGTTTTACCGTTATGATGAATATGCCAAAATGAAGTAAAACGAATTAAAGGTGTATGTAACCAGGGGCTTAGCTGCCATTATAGAAAAAGCCTGGGCATACACATGATTTTTGGTATGAAAGTTGGGCAAGCCCGCAATACTATCTAACTATAAAGTTTTGCAACCAATCGGGCTTACACGATAAAATTGCTTCCTATACGCGCCTGATAACTGTTTCTAACAAATCTGTATTATTTCATAACCGCTTATAGTCTAGATACTGAAGCACTAACCATGTGATTAGGTGTTATCCCAAAACTGGCAGTCTCCCGATGACGTAATTGCCGGAATTGGGACATCTACCATCACTAATTAGGACTAATTGGTCTGTGTGAAAATGAAATTGGGTTAATTAATCCTCTATTAATCCATTGCTACCTACCTGATCACTTGCTACTTGGGCAGATTAATGATTTGCTCATCTATGAACACAGTGTGATATGGTGTATATGGTTATGAACACACTTTGTTTTGTATTATAAGTACATTACACTGGGAGTCAGGAAATGTTTTCCTGCATTTCTTTGGTACATTGAGAGAACGAAATATGACTGGCATAAATACTTGTTAGTCAGTACTTTGGTCACACATAATAAGCATTATGATGGCAGAGAAAGGTGAAATGTTAGATGGAAGGAAAGTAGGTGGGGATTTGATTCTGGGTGGTTACAGATATACACGCAGGAAGGAAAACAAGAATGGTTCAGTTCCCTGGATCAGGGATTGAGTCAACCGACTTAATGAGCCTACTCAAGTTCAATTAGCAATTTATTACCTATCAATTAAGCGGTGTGAACAGCGTACTGCCAGAAATGGGACTTACGGAAATCGCACTGCCAGAAATAGGACAACGCGCTACACCAATTAAAAGGTGTGATAATCTCACTGCCAGAAACGGGACTAAATCTGTGATTATTCCTGAACCACATTATTTTTACTTTAGCCGAACCCTTTTTGAAATTCTACAGCCCTAAATGAAGCAAGTCTAGATTGGTGCAGGTTCTGAATCTCTATTCTCACTGTTTCTCCTTTTCAATTGAAAAGAATCGTGTTTGTTTCTATCTAAATTATACATATTCAGAGACAAAACGTTGGTCTACCAAGCGATGAAAGCGTGTCTTGTGATGTAAAAGACCCGGGTTCGACTCTCAACATGGGTAAAACGTATAGTACTCATTCTTGCGGTATTTCGCCTTCACTACAGCTTAAACATTGGTAAGACGCGGCGTAATTCATTATGCTCTTATTCTTAACAAGATTAAAACGAAAAGATTTCGCCTGACAATATATCATCCATATTCAACGGGGTCGACATTTCATTCCGACATCTCACACCAGTGTAACATGATATTCTGACACTCGTGAATGCTCTCTTCTGTGACAATGTGTTTATCTAATGTATTATTCATCAACAAATCTGTTTTAGTGCTACCATACTAATAAAGTATTCAACATATTCACGTCCTTTGGCCATGTTGTAAAACGTGAAGCCTTCCATTGTTGAAGGTGTATTTAGGATGGTGGAGCGTCCACGATATTATAGCCTGGTGCAATACTACGTGAAGTTGGGCAGTGGGCCGGGGTAGCCTAGTGAATAAAGCGTTCGCTCGTCACGCCGGATGACCAGATGACCCGATTCCAAACCCGGGTTCAATGTGTGAAGCCCATTTCTGGTGTCTCCCGCCGTGATAATGCTGGAATATTGCAAAAAGTAAAACTAAAGTCACTCACTCACTCCTACGTGAAATCACACAACATTCAAACATTGTGGGAGAGCAATTATGGTTGGGCTCGTTTCTTGATTCATGGATGTCATTCTATCCCCATAGATCGATGCTCAAGATGGTCACTTGATCGTCTGGTCCAGACCCAAAGATTTACCGAAGTAAAGCTGGAATATAATGCATCCTTAAACAAAAGGTACAGTATGACCAGCAAACGCTTTAACCGGTAAGCTACCCAACACCCCTCCTCGTGTTAATATAGTTACCATAGAAACCAACGAAGGTTAACAACCGGGATAACCTCTTTTTTTTCTTTTGTCATCGGTTGATATAATCCCTGAAACGAACTTGGTGTGTTGACATCGTTACATCCCTTTCCTTTTATATAGTGATAAGACCCCGTTAGTGACAGTACATGCCCTGATGGCAGTTTTTAGCGTTACAAGCCCTGTGGATATAATCATCAACGTCCTCGTCGTTGGACACGTTGACAAGCAATCAACTAACTCACCGGGCCACACGATCCAATTTATTCTCCTCAAAAGACCAGCAGTAGATCGCTGGGGACCTATTCCATCCTTCGGGTTGATTGTCTATTTTGTTTGTATCTGGCCTAACTGGTGTTCTGTAATGTTTCAGCTCATAATAACTACTATTCGTGCGTTATTTGCACACAGTTAGCGAGTGAGTTGGGTTTGACACCGCTTTAAGTGAGTGAGTATGGTTTAACGCTGTTTTTAACAATATTCCAGCAATATCACGACGGGGGGACACCAGAAACGGGCTTTACACATTATACCCATGTGGGAAACGACCCGGGTCTTCAGCTTGACGAGCGAACGCTTTAACCACTAGGCCACCTTACCGCCCCCAACGCCGTTTTGTAGAGTGTTCCAGCTGTATCAGGGCGGTGGGGTAGCCTAGTGGTTAAGGCGTTCGCTCGTCACGCCGAAAACCCGGGTTCGATTCCCCACATGGGCACAATGTGTTAAGTCCATTTCTGGTGTCCCCCGCCGTGATATTGCTGGAATATTGCTAAAAGCGGCGTAAAACTAAACTCACTCACTCACTCCAGCTGTATCAAGGCGTGTCACCTGATGTGGGCGGAAAGCCCGAAATTATGCATAAAAACCCATGTGCACGGGTACGGTGCCGACCAATATAATATTCGGGGCCACCCGGGATTCGAACCCCGGGATCATAGGTTTCAACGCACCATGTTTAAATTTTGCCAGTTAAGACAACTGTTCCACCCGTGCGCCCCATTTTCATACAGTGAGAGAGTGAGTTTAGTTTTACGCCGGTTTTAGCAATATTCCAGCACTATCATCAGAAATAGGCTTCACACATTGTACCCATGTGGGTAATCGAACCCAAGTCTTCGGCGTGACGACCAAACGCTTTAACAACATGGCTACCCACCTCCCCCTTTCATACGGGGGTGTTCTCGATCTCCCAACATTTGGGACCGTAGAACAACACATGGATTAAGTGGCGGGTAGGTCTAATTATTGCAAAAGGGGTGGCAGGTTTCCCAATGTAAGCTTATCATGGTTTATCACCGGGTAAACCTTTCATACAGCCAACAGGCCCAAGATCAGTGTTGTCATACTAACCAAATCCAGACCGCTATTGTTTACACGACCCGTGAACAATACTTCTTCTCACGTTGTGCGTTGAGGGTTAAGCATGATTCGCGTGTGTTAAATGGACAATTTCACCGAACTGCTATCAATCATGTAGACATATAGCAACATAGGCATCGCCATTATACAACTACTACGTTCGACCTCCGCGTCAATTTCCGAAGAGGAGCCAGTTAGCTTTATGTTGATTCCCAGTTCAGATAGGACACCACGATAGAGCCATTGTTTTGACAGATAGGCTACAGGCTTTCCTTTTGTCTGTGAATAGACATGTAACGATCGATCTAGCATGAAGGACGATGTTCACAGTCCACCACAACGCTGAACTATGGTGTAGAGGAGGAACCCAGGCCTTTTCCTGTCGCATTACGACTTGAAGAAATTAGCACAGCTACAAATGTACAGTTGTGATGAATGGAGAGACGTGCCGGGTTCTGCCAAGAGATGGGAGGCGCTTTTCAATCGATGGCTTTAATTACCGTCAATGGTGCCTTTGCTCACCGCAGTCCTAAACCAACCAGCTCAACCAATCGTTCATAACAATGAGTGAAATTTGTTGCAGGAATTCTTCCGCACTCATTTGGCAATGAACGCCACGGTGTAAAGTCACGTGAGGTGCACGCGCTCCTCGGGATCGCTGGACGTGTCGTCTGCTCCGTCCTCGTTTTACAGATCATTGCACGAATACAGATAAAAAAGGAATCGAAATCTCCTCCAAATATTTTGTGACACTCTTTAAATGACAATTGGCGATTTGGTTGTAGAATACTGGATGACAGGATGTCAAAAACAAACCTATCAACGTGTTCCTGTTAAGTATTGGCGATACCAGGATCATCGAAAATCGAACAACCTACTCCATATCCATCAACAGAAGTAGTCCCAGCGATACCGTCACCTTACAACAAGGAGGTATAAGTTTAAACAGACAGACAGCTGGAGAGAAGGTTAGCCCGTAATTCATCAATATGCCATTATAGCTACCATTAAAAGTCGGATCAAAAGCGCAAAGGACGGCTCGAAGATCTGCTTCTGGACGCACTTCTAGTCTTTAACTGCAGCTGAACGAAACACACACCTGTGTAAGGACCGCTAATCCTCAATCATCTCCTAAATCTCTGCCGGGGTTTCTGTCTCATCTTCCATTCATTGGCAGGCTGGCGTGGCCCGGGAGTTCCGCAGAGATTGGTGACAGAGAGTCTGGTCATGAGAGTGTTTACCTTGCAGACTGGTCGGAAGTATCTCTCACGTAACTACCGCTGTTGGAGGAGCTCCATTGTGTTTGTCAGTAGAACCCAAGCATAACTTTATCAATTTCCTGAAGCAAGGCTGAAAGTCCTGTACGATCGGATCCCAGAGTAGATGTAAATATGGACAGACATGTAAGTTATCTTTGATTTATCGTTACTGACTCCTAGCTTGTTTTGTAAGTGCTTTAAGGTGTACTATGACTTAATGTTTGGAAAAGTATTGAGAAATTTTGGGTCCAATTCCAAATTATGTTGATGCATGTCGTATTCCTTGACAACCAATTCGTTAGCTTCTCATTTATTTGTTATCATACTGAATGCAGTGACGACCGAAATATACAAGATACAAAAGGACCGCTCGTTCGTAATAACCGTGGTTCGTTGTACGCATTTCGACTAATATAATACAGCAATTGGTTGGGGCGAAGACTGTTATATCTCTCAGTTCGTTATAACCGTGTTTGTTGTAAAAGGAATGTTCGACACCGACACTGTTTCTTGAGAGGAAGATATAATAAACTCTAATTTATATATATCATACACCATTTGCAGATGATAACTACCACGTTTAGATTATAACCAATTCATATATATTCACAACAAAATGGTTAAAGATGTTCTAAGAACTTGTCATGGTCTCTAATTTAATTACATCTTTGGTATTCCGTTTTCGTCGTGTTTCCTCAAACAGCTAGACATATTTTTTTAGAAAGAAATATATCATAATCGGCATTTTTGTTAAAACAGAAAGAATTACTCAAAAAACATCTTAAACAGATTAATATGTTGGCTACCCAGTCTGTTATAGTCTGCATAGGGCGTAATAGATGGATTTTTGCAAGTTAGAGAAGGAGAAGTATATTAACAGTAAGGATTTGCGGCGAATTTTATTCGAGGCGTAAATAAAGATTTGTTGAAATAAAGCTGTATAAATCTTCCGCGTTGCTGCCACGAAGCTTGGTGTGCGTTTTAAATTCAGAAAAATGCCTCTTTTATCGGCTTTCCTTTTCCACCATTAACAATATGTATCTTTTTATCTGGTGGAGGAAATGAAAGGAGTCGACATCAACGCCATTACTGTTAGGCCTCAATCCTAATCAAAATGTCACTTCCTCCATTCAAGTAACATATTTCACTTTGATAGACATACAAGGAAGCTAAACGTCCGTATTCCAACGAGAACCTCTTATTGTACATCGTAATGGTTTGGGCACACTACTTGACCTTATCTTTAGGAAAGCAATCGCCAAGTTCTCCCCGTAGAAAAGATCTATAATGTCTCTCCGCGGCACCTACACTGCACCTATAGGCAGAGCCATCGTTTTATAAACACACGTTGCATAAAGGTACCTTTGAGGCATGAGAAACGCGTCCGTCTCAATCAGAATAGTGAAATGGGTTTCAGGCGATTGGTCTTCAAGAACGATTTCCAGAGCTCTGATTTCGGTACAGGGTTGATGTGACCCCCTCGTTAATGCGATATTTCCATTAAGATTGCTATGTTCATCGCCAGTCTGATGCCGTGATGAGGCCTTGTTTCATTGCGTTTCACTTCCTATTGTTTTTTTGAGACTCTCAGATCGCTAATGACGTTAGATAGGGATCGCCATTAACCCGGGTTCATTTGGGAGCTGTGTTGTTCAAAAACATTTACAGCATTCAGACATATTGCATTTAGATTAGTACGGAGAGTTTAATCTCGTCGTGTTGGTGATTAAGATGTACAAGAAATGTTATTGGATACGGGATATCGTACTTATTTCCTTAGCTGTTCAATAGTTTTATATAAAGTCACTGCTTTAGCACTTTCATTAAGTTGTAACAGCTACATCGTGGACGTCTTTGTGGGGTTGTGAAGCAATAAAACGTTTATGGGGGCTGTTTATAGTCCCACTAACAACTGATTGAACCAGGTTATTGCGTGTCATATAAGGAAGTAAGCCTACGAGCCTGAATTGTACCATTCCGAACCGGATTCAACCATAACCTGCCAATCCTTGAGTGTTTCAAGTCGTTTATTTAAATAGAATGATTGAAAGTTATTTCCTTTTATTAAAACAATAACATTCATTACATGATTGAAATTGAAGCAATAATATGATATGAATGAGTAAACTATCGGCATATATCACTGGCAAACTTTTTGGGTTATTGCCTTAAACAATAAACAAAGAAACAAAATGTTTGGCTAGAGTGCCGACCAACCATTTGTTTATGCCACTTAAGTTATCATTCTCGATCATTTGCCTAAACGCGCTAAAGGCAAAACAGTGAACTTCGAGGTAATTGTATGAATGGATCACTGAAAAATCAGCCATAACACCGGGTGTCAGCGACAAGGGTAAAACATCCTTCGTCCTCCACCACCCCCTTGCTCTACCCACATAACTTCAGACCCCTGCATGGATTTTCTTTCCTGACGGAATTTAAGGGGTTACGAGTCGTACACTGAATTCGACGTGCAGAGTTGCGTCCCTTGGGGACGACAGATAACTATGACCATAGGTACGAATCCCAGATCAATAATACAAATTACAACATCTCTTATTAGGCATACGGCGGGAGGTTAATGGTGTTTACGCTCGTCTTAGGTACACAGTATTATATACAGATGATACCTGTAACCTACACTGCACCAGTACGTATATTGGATGTTTCATGTTCAAATTTATCAATTTCATAGTTCTGAAGAAAAATATTAATATTCATATTGTTTTGATCGTGTATCGTGCGTTAATTATGCATATTGTATGTCGTTCTCACTTGTCAGCTGTCAGTTTATGCCGCAAATGTTCATCAATCACCACGGGTAACCCTGCTTTTCTTTCATGGTAACCTTGTAATAGAGAATAATCGTGCCACGAATACATTAACACCATGTTGAAACATCAGGAAAAATTACATGCTGCCCAACGAGGGGATACATTAATGAAATCTATTTCTTTTGAATAAAAAGAAGACACAAAAAAGACGGTACTATGGGTGAATTATCGGCCAGTGCGATCTCTGGGCTTTTAAGCCTTTCTGAACAAATTGTTTTTTTGTGACATCGATTTTTTTTATTTGAAAAGCGGAGTGATATTTTCCAGGCTGCATAAACACAGATAAAATGTCACTTTTGAAATTTGGGCAGAGTTATCCGGATCGAATTTCAGCCATCATGTTTCCTTGAATCCATAATTTTCAATTTTAAGCACCCTGAAACCACGAACGACGGAATGTTTCGGAGTGAAAGCCACATTGAACAAGATAATCTGTAGAAAATGAATTAATAATTGTTCAGCTTGAGTAATTTGTTCTTTCAGTAAATCATCTTTTTCCTGACACACGCAATGAAATAATTGAAATAGCTCCATCGATTAGCTGATACACGGGTAATATCATCTTTCTCCACTTGATTACTGTAATCATAATTAGTGTCACATAATGTCATTGTTAGCGTTATTTATTATCCGGGTGATGTAAAAAGAAGACTATTATGTATAGAAACGAAAAAAACATGTTTTGGTTGATGTCGAGAACGAGACTTCTATATTTACACGACGTTTTGGTGTAGATGTGGTCGTTCAGTATACATCAGTAACGTCAAATGTAAGTACAGCTGTGGTGTAGCCTAGTAGTTACAGCTTTCGCTCGTCACGCCGATGACCCGAGTTCGATTCCCAACATGGGCACAATATGTGAAGCATATTTCTGGTGCCCCACGTCATGATACTGCTGGAATATTGCTAAAATCGGCGTAAAACCATACTCACTTACTCTTGATTCGTACTTGAACGTTGAATTTATAAGTATATATATTTCTAGAAAGCTGTTATTATTGTACCCATGCAGGGAATAGAACCCGAGCCTTCGACGTGACGAGCGAACCCTTTAACCACGAGGCTACCCCACCACCCCGACAGACTCGGTTACTTACAAGCCACCGTTATATAGGTAACATATTGCTAACTGCCGCCAAGACCGACATAAAGTCACCGACTGCCCGTTTGAACACGTGTGATGCAAGACGCTGCTGTTGATCTCAGAAACCATTGGCTACAGGTGGTCCAGACGTCTTAGGTGCCGCAATTCTCTCTCCAGAGTTGCCTCCCTTTGTTGTGCCGGAAACCAAGGGTTTGAATCCTGGCGCGCCCGAATTATGTTTCTAGGTTTGTCGGTATCAATCAATCAATCTTTATTTCAGTACTTAAAAAGGCCACAGGCCTGTAGTACATTTAGAGTTTACATGAGTAGATAGAAGTCATTTATAAATTCTTTTCTGCAACAATACTTTTTCTTAATCTCATAGCGAAATAGATGTATATTGCCAGATTCTGTAATATTGATGTAGTAGTATCTGTTAATAGTGAAATTAATGTTCTTACACTTGGATGCTTATAATAGTATGGCTTTAAGTACATTGTAGTTCGTTCGTAGAGTCGTATAAACAGGACAGATTAGAAGGAAATGTAGTTCATCCTCAACAGTACTCATATTACATAACTGACATATTCTGTTTTCTCTTTGTATACCTGCATACCTGCCAGTTTCAATAAATAATTCATGGGAAGAGCAACGAAAACGAGAGAGACGTTTGTCGGTATCATACCAGGGCTCTTGCGTCATTTCGGGCTTTGCTCCAAGTTGACATGAACATAAAACTGACAAACAACTTCAATTCAGAGTTACGCCAAACTCACTTGGTTACTCGGAAACACGGAAAGAGACAGTAATGTATCTGAGCGACGCGTTTTGTTTGCCTGACTAAACGTAATCATTATCACTCCGGTGTCCCCTAGAGACCCACATCTGGTTGTATATTCTCGACGATATATGTCAGTGTAATCTAATAAAGATACAAAACAGCATGCGAGTGTACCACACCGAGAAACACCACGTGGCGATTAGGCTTAAACAGCACTCCTCCGGGATCTATCAAATAAACTGATATCACATATATAACATATATAACATATATAAAACATAATTGAAAATAAGTACGTATGGTCGCTGTGGTTGTTCACGTTCACGTTAAACATCGTTCCCTGACTAACAGATCACAGATATACGAAATACGGCTTGGAGAATCATCATCATCATTATCATCATCATCATCATCATCGTCATCATCATCATCATCATCATAAAATTTGAGACCTACCTGTGAAGCCCATTTCTGGTGTCCCCTGCCGTGATATTGCTGGAATATTGGTAAAAGCGGCGTAAAACCATACTCACTCACTCATTCTGAGACCTACCACACATCGGGGTGTTTCTCCCTTGCCAAGCTAATACGCCGGAGGCAACTAGAAAACTGTTCAAAGCGGTATGAAGCCCAATGCACTTAATCGTCCTATATGGCTGAAATAATGCCGATGCCACATAAAATTGTAACTCACTCACTCACTTAGTCTAGTCCCATGGCAGTACATATGAGAAATGAAAATGTCAATAGTTAACATCCATGTTCTGATATACTATTGAAAGGCGTAATGCTACAACAATTTATATGAATTCATTTACTTTTCGACGTCCTTTAATCGCCGTGGGGTAGCCTAGTGGTTGAAGCGTTTGCTCGTTACGCCGAGGACTCGGGATCAATTCCCCATTCTAAAGTGCAGCTCATTAAGTTTACATCTTACATACCTTTTCTTGAAATCTCTAAACTTTATAGAAGAATCGATCTGCTTGAAAAATATTACTTTTTCGGACAGAAAATGGTTTGCGTTGCTCCTACCACCAAATATAAGACCTGGTCTGCCACTGGATATAACACAAAACGTGTTTAACATTTCTAGTATACAGGTCCACGGCTACCAGCCAGAATATCGTTAGCACCGAGGGCTGATTGTGATGGGGAAAACGAAATAACCCAGGGCTTCCTTTGACATGAATCTAGTTTTGATGTGTTTCAATTCCCTCTCATCCCTAAATATAATCAAGGAAATTATTTACCCAGTCATACCTCCCTACTTTCAGAGAACCCGCAGTTACGCGTCGTCTCTTTATTCCAGACGAGATTTATCAAGGGCTATTCAAGAGTACATTTCATACATTTTCTAATTTCATTAAACAGAGAGTTCCGTGGCGACGAATGCATGTGATAGTACCAAGCTTACTCCTTACAAATCACACTTAAAGAGAGTACATCGATTAGTACGGGCTAAATGCCATATTTCTTCCCGATAGAACGGGAATGCACTCGTATGGTTAATATAACATGAAGCGTAAACAAGTTTGGGTTCTACTCATTATCACGGGTTAGCAATGACCTTGACCTCTTCAGATTCGGCGTCAATTTATCAGTACGATAATAGCCGTTATTGGGCACTAATGAGTCTAGTCAATGGTTAATAAATCACTGTTCAATCAGATTTAGATGCTGGGTCTATATTCAGATGAAACTACAGAGCCATGTCTGCAGAGCTTCAGTCTGTTTCACAGTCCCTGAACCACATTATTTTCCCTTCTGCTGAGTCCTCCCTGCGATGCTAATGCGCTAAATGAAGCAAGTCTAAATTTCCTCGAGTCCAGGGGCTCCTTTTTGATTTCATTTGTCAATATCAAAATGATACATATTTAGAGACTATTCGTTAGTCTAGCAGAGCTTCAACATTGAAGTTATTTGTTAAAATCCCAGTGACTGAAAACCCGTTCAAAAACTACTTCCCTTTCAAATTGTTGAAAATGCAATGCTGCACATTAATACACAGCACTAAATATGTCCAGCGAGTTCCATATAGCTTCAAATTAATGCGAAATGAACCCGAGCCAGCGATTGTCTGTAAAACCCATTATGACAACATAACTGTTTAAATGAATTAAGTTCTGAATGCAGAGAGACTCGATGGGAATGTATACACATACATATATATAAGCATCACGTTAATGGACGGTCATAAAACCCCAGTGACTGAAATCTAGCTGCTTTTATTGATAAATTTCTGTTTTCACAATGAGTGTTGAAATGGAATACTGAGCGACTGTATGAAATATATACACATTCTCATGCATGACTTTACACGGGGGAACTGTTTGGAGACATTTTGCTGAATGAGTCCATAACAAAAACATGCTGAAATTCATATTCGGAAGAACCCGTTGTCTTAACCCCGTGACAACATCAGAGCTGATTTAATATTCAAATTATAAAGGAACCCGTCTCAAAGGGGATTAAAAAAGGACACCCTGTATAATCGAATGTATATAACCGAGATGCCGGAAGTGACGTTAAAGCCGTGACCTTGAGATAAATCGCTCTCTGTATAGGAAACACAAGTGACTGCAAGAGCATGAAATTCCAATTTGTCTTGTGTGTTTGTTCTGATCTGGCACAGCAACTTCACACTTGACCCGGGCTGTATCCGCTTGGGAGGAAACCCAAACAAGGAGGATGACTAGGTGGCGAGGACACGCGATTTTCTACTTGCCCGTGTTTGGCCGGAAGAGGTCAAGTCCTGAAGACGTCCTGGTGGACCGCGAGGTGGCATCTACAGAAGTGTTAATGGCCATTTGCTGCTGACGGTTCGCATAACATACATGATAATGCTACAGATGACGACCTTCTGTAGCTGGATGGTTGCCTTGGTAAACGTTGAGCATCCATATTTTCACAACACGGACGCGTTGTACAAGCGGACTTCAGATATTTGATATAAAGACGCTCGTCAGATGCATATGGTTAGTGTGCGTAAAATGTATTGGCATTTCATCGAAGAAGGTTAAAGGCCTGGGTTGGCTTTGTAATGTTACACTTTTAGTATACCTAAAAACATGTATTAATTAACATTGAACAAGTATAGTGAACTAAAATGGTGAAGGTATTTTTATCAAAGAAGGTTTAGACTGGCTTGCAATGAAAGTTTTCCAGTTTGATGATACTTAAAACATATAATTCACATTTAGCCAGTTTTCATATTGGATGCAAACTTTACAAACCCGTTTGAATTGGTGCTGATGTCATATGACTGAAGGTGAAATAATCGGACATGGTTCATAAAGGTCATTTATTAATATTCATTGTGTTTGGGATCTGTTAATATAACTCGGTCTTATATTCTGCTCTCCAGTCGAACCGTAAAGATCCGGGTTAGAATTGGTCTTCAGCAACCCATGCTTGTCGTAAGAGGCAACGAACGGGATCGGATAGTTAGGCTCGCTGACTTGGTTAACATATGTCATCGTATCCCAATTGCGTAGATCGATGCTCATACTGTTGATCACTGAATTGTCTGGTCCAGACTCGATTATTAAAACAGATCGCTGACATATAGCTGGAATATTGCTGAGTGCGGCGTTAAACAACAATCAAACCAAACCCGCTCTCCAGTCAGATATTGAGGGAGTGATAGTTTACATTCTGCCCGTACCTTGTATATGTATATTTCAGTTTGAGCATCCCATTGACACATGGGTCATCTGTTTGGTATCGTGGATAGGCTGCCCCAGTCACGTCATACAAAACACGTTGTGATGCTTGTTGTTGCTCTGGTGTAAGAATTTTATTCATACATTCTATGCCAAATGTTGATCTACACGTTGTCATTTGTTGTGAAGTGCCTCCGTGGTCGAGTGGATAGCGTGTTCGCTTTGAGAGCGAAAGGTCGGGGTTCATTCCAAATGGCATTAAAAGATAGTATTTGGCACTAAGAGGTTTAAACTAGGACTGGTTGGTGAGTAATCAGGGTAGGAGGCATGGTAGCTCGTGGACATAGCTCAGGACTAGTACAAGAAGTGACCGACACACACGCACGCACACACATCGATATATACTAGTAAGGGAACTAATATTTAACACCACGTTACACCCCATTTCACCACACAGAAGAATGGACTCGTTTCCAAAAACGTCCTCATTTCCTCATTTCCCCATCCAGCAGGTACTGTCATTGTTTTATGGATGGCTCTGTAAATGATATCATTGATATCACATAATCCTTCGATGATGTCCGTTACGAGTGTTATACCCAGAGCTGGCACAGTTAGCAGTGTAAACCAACGCGGCGTGGTCAAGGCTACAGAACATGTCTTCAGTAATAATCGCTCTAATTGGGACTGTTTTGCCGGATCGTTAACGAGACACATCTCCTGCTGCAAGACAGGTTCTCTGTCATGGCGACATGATAGGATTTGTTCCAGTCATTTGCATGTTTTAAAAATTTCAAACTGGTTAATTGATTTTTTCGGAAATTCCGAAGCTGTTAATTTTGACGGATTATGAATTGTCGAATATGTTTATTTTTTTAACACCATCCCATTTGTCAATATCATTACTTCGTTTTAAAACAATGATAAAAATGAAGGTGAAACATTTGTCGAAGGATAAAAAATGCCGCAGAGGTGATAAAAGAGTAAAGCATTTAGAAATTTGAACCAGATGATCTTTTGCCAGCAATTTCAGCCAAACAAGACCCTTTATCAAACTAGCCATTAAATCGGGAAATTGCAAATAATGATTGCTTCAACGGCCAGCCTATTGATCACCTGTTTTGTCCATTCGAGATAAGAGCAAGTTACGGCAAATGTTAAAACATGCTCTAGTATTAAAGAGACACTATAATTTTACAGCGTCGATATCGTGACGTGATTCATGGTTTGGATTAAATTGTGAGTGAGGTTGATTCTGCGCTTCTGTGGGCAATTATGGCATAGCGATATGACGGTGGGAAAAGAACAGACGGATTTCACTGACCTACGTCGGGGATCGAACCCGTGTTTTCTTCTTACGAGCGAAGGTTTTTAAAACTCGGCTTCACTATCGACTATTGATACGAAATATATAAATATATTCAGGAGACATATACGTATTGGATAAAACACCGATATATTGAACAGAAAGTGAATTTTACCATATTGTTTGTTGTTTAACGCCCAATTCAGCAATATTTCAGCTGTATGGCGGCGGTCTGTAAATAATCGCGTTCGGATCAGACAATCCAGTGATCAACATAATGAGCATCTATCTACGCAATTGTGATACGACGACAAGCCTGGCCACATTGGAACCTGTTGATGATTAAATTGAAAATTTAAAACAATTTACTTTTTTGTTGTATTTAATTATTTAATGCGGTATTGATAAATTCGTGCATGCCATATCACCCAATTTCTTTTCTGTTTCAGGAGGAACGTAACCTTACAGACGTCACATGACCATTACGGCGAGATATGATTGGTCGACAGAAACCTAAACGTCAACGCCGCACAAAGGACACGTAATAAACGGGAGATTTGTAAGGGTTCCATGACGCCATGCTGTAAATTATGGAACGGACAAGCTGACTATTGCATGCTCAGAAATCATTGGACTTATTGCGAGACAAAAAGTGGGAAACATAAAGACTGACGTCTGCTCTCTGCGCAGCAGACGACAATAAAGAAGACAAATAGAGATTTTACGAGGACAGTGACAGATCGAATCTTGCAAAAGGGAATTTAAAATGCAAACTTTCTGACAGACGAAAACTTCAGCTTGTTTGCCGACCTGGAAGTTTTGATATTAGCTGGCGGTGTCAATTCAAAGGAACGTGATTGTTGATTTAAATGTCCAGATGTAGCAGACAACGATTTCAATAAGAAACCAACATACGCAGTAGTATTTCATCCCGCTCAGAACGTCTACATCGTCTTTGAAGTTGCTCTTGGTTCCCCAGCAGAACATAGAGCAAACAATATTCGTTTAACTTTATCACTCACAAAAGGTCAATGAGCTTCAGCGGCAGATGTCATTTAAGTAAAGCCAGTTAAGCCGGTGCGGTAATACGCGTTGTACAAGCTTTCCAGACTCCAGATATTTGATATAGAGAAGCTCTTAAGATGAATATGGTACAGAAAAGCCTAAAAGCCTTATAAGTGGAAGCTTAAGAAGATTCATGCTTTTCATCCCGTGACGGTTGATTTATGGCTTTCTGATGGACTTGAACGACTTGAAACTGATACAAGCACCCATTGCAAAGTGCCCGTGAGACTTGACGAAAGCGATATACTTCAGTTAAATAGTATTAGTAATCAGACCGACGATATTATTGTTCAAGTGTTTTACGTCTTCTCGAGTTTTATCCAGCCGATTATAATGACAATTGTCCAATCTCAAACATAACTACACATATTGAGGAACCGGCTGATGTTCTTGGTCGTTCTATTGGTATTCGCTATAGCAGAGAGACATCTCTTAATATTGTCTCCTCGCTTACGTTTAGTTTCAAGAATTTGTTCGTCTTAATTCTTCTATTCTGAGTCATACGCTATTGCGACGTTCGATCATTGAAAAATGAACGAAGTGGAACCCAACGTCGTGAAAACCAATATTCCCCGTGTGTGATACGCCTGGAGATTGAACAGGTGTTTATTGCAAACAGGGATCTCAGACATTACACGTTTTTTAAATGAAACCGATTTAGCCCACTATTATCTTGTACACGTGGAACCTAAAGGAAGCGAAGTGTTAGGAGACGCAGGAATGGTAATCTTTAGATATAAACATAATAACAAGATTGTGTTCCCCACAGACAAATTGACCGTGTAGAGATAGAACCGTAAACCAGCATGACTGATGGTTGTGAATGGAATCCTGCTATTGCATGATTAAGGAATAATCGGCTTAATTCCATCTTTAGTGTGTATGATCAAATGAAATTGATTTCCTAAACCACGTCTGTTGTTTTACATACAGACTCGCATCGTTGCCGTTCAAGCGTCATATTTCAGTCTCTTAGCAGCCTCGTTGGCAATGGCTTGTAATTTTGGTCTCATTTGGCTTTGTTTGGGCTTGAGTCGGACGCTGTGAAATCTCCGTGGAGCTGGCTGCACGTTGTGGGGAAAACGCCCATGTGGGGCTTTAAACCTGATTACTGTAGCCAAACATGATTATTGGTTTAGCACGAAGCCATGCGCTTGATCTTAGACAGATACAGACGAATTAAACTACGCTCACCTCCCTGGACATACAGCGCTACAGACTCACTTCCTCAGCGTAAACATAATGTCTCAAAGGGATTATTCCATTTAGGTTTTGGACAGTTTTCAGTTTGAATATTATGTAATGAATAATTGACTGGTTGGAGTTCATGCATGTGACTAACATCTGTTGCTGTTCGGGCGCGACAGAAACGTTTTCATCAAGAGATATCGTTGTGGAAGTAACTGCTAGTTTGGCATTTGGGCGTGATAGGTCCAGAGGGACTTAGCTATATCGGCTGCAAGCGCTGCTAACTTAATGAACGCGTGGCTGTGATGTGACCATATCGATAGATACGGAGCTATGGAATATAATGTTACTTCTACCGCTTCCAATTTAACCGACTGGGCTGTGGGCAACATTTCCACCACAGGGATGTCCTCTTCTACCATGTCGGCGATGTGGACGTCAGAGACGCGACAACCGGCAACAGAGACGACATCCGCAGCACCGGAGACGACATCTTTTGTGACAGATACTTGGACGAACGCAGTAACGGACTTGTGGACAAGTGACGTTTCGTCGGAAAGTGTGTCGTCTGCTTTGTCTTCCGAACTGACGTCTGCTAATTGGATAAGGGAAACAACGTCTGCCGCGACCAGTTACTTCACTGAAACGATCACATACGTTGACAACGACACAGCTGGCTACAATCGGACGACATCTCCTGTGATAGACTTTGTGACTACAGCCACCACTGTCTTGACGTACATGACATCGCACGAAGCTTATAAAGGGATACCAATTGATGCACTCGTGCTGAAAACAGTCTCCCTTGTGCTTATAGCATTATCTGGAGTTGCCGGTAATGGGTTCATCATTTACACAATTGTCAAAGAAGGCAATCTCCATCGTCCTCCATTTTATTACCTGCTAAGCCTTTGTGTGTCAGACTTGTCCCGAGCGGTGTTTTGTGTTCCACTTGTGCTAATGACGGTGCTGCAGGGGTCTGTGTGGAAATATGGAACCTCTGCCTGCAAACTCTTTGCCTTTGCCAACTCTTTCTTCATCTACAGTTCATCTGGAGCTATATTAGCGATATCGATAGATCGACATTTCTCAATTGTGTATTCCAAATTTTACAAACGGAGATCCAGAGGGCTTGTCAACCTTATTGTGGTTGTGGTTGGCTGGACAATCGCTTTTGCAATGTCCTTCCCGCCCGTGGTAGGAATCGGCACATACGTCTTCATTCCGGAGGAAAGCCAGTGCACCTTTCATCACAGATACTACAAGTCCAACGATACACTGGGATTCATGCTTGTGTTCTCTGTTATTGTCTTCGTATCTGTGTTCCTCTACTTGCGGGTGTTCTCCTTTCTGAGATCTCACAGGAAGATGCGCCCACTGGAGCACCAGCCTGCACGGAGTTCCAACTGGACATTCTTCGGCCCCGGGGCAAATGGACAAGCACTTGTTAACGTCATGAATGGATTCGGTGCCAATCCGGCGATGAATCCGCTACGGATGCAGGTGCGTCCAAATTTTGGCAGGGTTGTGAATTTGCATATTGTGAAAAATGAACACCTTACGAGGTTATTTTTTGTTGTAACCTGTTCGTTCAGCTCGCTGTGGTTTCCTTATATTGTGCTTGCGTTTTGGCGAATGTTTGGTGACACTGGAACGATTGGATCTGTGTTCGTGACCATTGCTGCTTGGCTAACATACACCCAGGTGGCGCTGTGCCCTCTTATGTATATTGTGTCCCGTGGACCAATCAGGAAGCATTCTCGGACAGTACTTGATGCAAATGACAAGAAGGAGTTTCTTTTAGAAACAAGGAACCGGAAATGAACGAATCATTCGTTCTGTGATAGAACAATAAACATTATATTCTATTTATCTATTTATTGAGTATTTATCTTATAAACGCATTCTTGTATGAAGACATTGATGAGAATGTATGCGTATGTCATCCATGAAAAGCGATAAATACTACTTCAGTGTAAGACCTTTCATAACCTCACGAGACAAAATTAATTCTAAAAGGATTTATATTTATATATATATATATATCTTCGAAAAGAGTTTCAATCGCTACCACATGTTGAGAACTAAAACTAGCAAGGTTAGAAGGGAGCATGTCATAATTCTCCAGGTCCCTATTTGACTTATATCTATTATATAGATAAAATAAATTACTTTTCTATTCCTTAATGATACAAAGTAAACGTTTCCATGGTTTCTCAACTATCATGATATTGTTTGACAAACGAAAGTCATTCATGACAACCAATTTGGACGTCACATCTGCTCAACGGAAATATCCAATAACCCTTTTGAGATGACTAAATCACGAAAACATTATTAGTGAACTCTCTATTGAACTCAGCCAAGGATCAAATTTACTTCCACACTGTGTTTTTGTTCTTTAAATGTCGCTTTCTTACAGCTTACGATACATTGTGGTTACATTGTCCTTCTGTAAATTTTAGTGTTTACGCTTTTGGTAATCCTGGAGAAAGCCAATATCTAAATGTAGAATTCAGCGTGCCAAACACTGTAAGCTATAGAAGGTGTTCCATGGTGTCGAGAGTATGGATGTGACGGTGTGTGTTGCATGTCGTGTGTAAGGAAGACTTCTGTAAATCTTAATCTATGATGTGATTTTCGTCAAATGATCGTGAAATTTTTAAATATAAATCATGAAAACTGTATGTCACTGAATTAAACCCTTTGATTCTGTGAATCAGTGTGTAATTGTGTATTTACATGTCCTCCGTTGAGATGAAATGTAAATGGGCCAGATACCCTAATGGGTAATCGTGATTAGGGTAAAACAAGATGCTCATCACCTAGTGCGTGGTACTCCCGGTTCGAATCCTACATGGGCACAATGTGTGAAGCCCATTTCTGGTGTCCACCGCCGTGATGTTGCTGGAATATTGCTATAAGCGGCGTAAAACCAAACTCAGTCAGTCAGTCAGTAGTACGTGGTACTGAGCAGGACCTGAGTAATTAGGGAATCTGATTTGCCTGATATCGATTGTATGGGTCATCAGGCTTTGGCTCTCCCGACCTCAGATGTGATTATGTACACACACTACCACCACCATGCACACACAAACACATGACCAATAATATACACACACTCCATACACATATGAATGCATACAGCCCACTAAACAAATAACACAATACAACACATACACCACCATACATACACATGTATAGACATATACAAGACATAAACACAGTCACACATCCCCACGAAAACACAACACGCACACCATACACACACAATAACTTACCCACGAACACAAACATACACAATATAACACATACACATGTAAAGACATACACAACACATAAACACACACACAACACACATACTCACGAACACGCAACACATACACACATAAAACACACACCATACACACATAAGCATTTACCTTCGAGCACATACACCGTACACATACATACTCATGTATAGACATATACAAGACAAACACATTACACACATACACATACACACGAACACACATGAGAAGAGGCATGAAGGTCAGAAACTACGGATTCTGTCGTTATGTTCAGCATCATATGTTGTTGTGAGGAAGCAAATGTATTTATAAGTATTATCTATTTTTCATCTCGGATAATGAACACAAACCCTTCTGAATCGTGTACTGGTGGATAGGGCTGGCGTTCACCTGGGAGACCTAACCATCATTTATCAAAGATACAAGATACAATATATACTCATGTTCTGAATAGTAACGGGCGCTGCTTGTAACAGTAACTTCTTTGGTTTCGTCGATTGTATTTATATAACTGGTCTTATCGCGGCTACAAGACTAACGCTTAGGCTCTGAATGTATATAATTTTGATAGAAGCAAATAATTCTACTTTAATTGAAAATGCGCCCCAGTGAAATGGACGATTCAGAACCCAAGGAACACCCTGCTGCTCCATTTAGGGCTTTCGCGCTGGAGAGAGGCTGGGCGGAAGGGAAATATCTGGTTCAGGGTCTGTGAACGAGCCAACGAGGTCACCAAAGGACATTACACCTTTGTCCATGTACAGCTATGTTCTTAAATGGTTGATGAATTGTTCATTAGCAACTTGCTGACAACGTCTCCTGTTCCAACTGTCCATCATTGCCATCGATTGCCTGAATTTAACTTCATTAGCCTTCCCAATTACACTTTTAGCAGTAAGATGTTCTTTAGTCTCACTCGGCTGTGTCTGTCCATTCCAAGGAGATAAGCGATGACATTTGTCAAACAGATCTCAATGTCCACAGGAAATGACTAATGGCTATGTCACAACGACTATTTCATACGACAGTCTGCCATGATTGATAGCCTCCATGGTTTGCCTGTTGTCGGTGCATGGCTGCTCCTGTGAGTGACGATGTGCCTGGAATGGGAGCTATGCTATGTGAGTAGCCTCCTCTAATTGGGTCAGGACATGGCGAAGCCGAGTTATCATCATGGCCCTTCCTGACTTGTTTTGACTGAGGGGGGCTGTGGGGTAAATGAGAAGCGTTTGCCTGTCAATCCGAAGACTGGGTTTAATTGCGGTATATTTTTCTTGGTAAAGATGACCCTGCTTGGTGTTCTTCTTTGGCTGGAACAGTGCTTATAGTGTACACATCCTGCTTACTCATTATTTTGTATATTCTAAGATGCTGGTCAAAGTAGCGTCAAATAATATCGAGTCACACTCACTCACTCACTCACTCAAAACCTACCCGCCCGTCCACTCACTCACTCACATACAATATATGAATGTCAAACGACTTGATAGAAACAACACGACGACAACTAATTAAATCAGCTGTATCAAATGTTAAGTGTGTGATATCGTGTCAATATATTTATGAACACGATAAAAGCAGAGACCATATACCGATATATGGTCTCATATAAAAGGCATGTGATGAAAGTGATCAGAATTTGCTGTCTGAATACATGAAGACCGTTAATAATACAATACACCACATATACCACAACCAGAATATGTTGATTAGGTCATTGCATTGAATCATATATCCATATGAATCATATGAACTGTCATCACCACTTCTTTGACATTTCAGCTGAGTAAATAATTTAGACCATTCCAATATCCAAATCATTATATTCCAATTAGCTGTACGCCCAACCAAAACTTGGCAATATACTTTCATTTCGAAATTGGTTACCGATAAAAGTACCATTAAGCACGTACGTATTTTAAAGGAATATGCTAAAGGAATATCTTGCTGGAAACTTTTATGCTTAAGATATCTATAAATGTGGTTGGGTGAACATGGTCTTACGCCTTTTAGAAGTATTTCAGCAATATCACGGCGGGGGAAACCAGAAATAGGCTTCACGGTATCGAACCCGGGTCTTCGCTTTAACCATTAGGCAAACGTGCAGAGACAAACATGTAAAGAGACGTGCAAACTGCCACTTTTCTCCAGTACAACTCATAAACCCTTCGGGGATGTTGGGGTAGCCAAGTGGTTAAAGCTTTGCTTCGTCACGTCGAAGACCCGGGTTCGATTCCTCACATGGGTCAATGTGTGAAGCCCATTTCTGGTGTCCTCTGCCGTGACATTGCTGGAATATCGCTAAAAGCGGCGTAAAACTAAACGTGTAACACGTTTGAGCTTCGTGGGAAAAATGGGCAGACTTAACCTGGTTTACGTATAGTTAAAAATGTTTAATCATTTATTGACACTCACTCACTCACTCACTCACATAAACCCTTCGTGTTCAGTTCACTGAAGATGTATGCTACTTTACATTGGACTGGGATACAGAAATATTTCATACTCTGGACTCTGGAGCGAGAACATTATGGTTTTACGTCGTGTTTAGCAATATTTCAGCACTATAAAGTTAGGATCACAAGAAATGGTCACACAGATGACAATATATTGAATTTATATACATGGGTGTGTCTGTGTGTGTGTGTGTGTGTGTGTGTGTGTGTTGTGTTTTTACTTACATTGACTTGGAGATTAAAGTACGCCAGTTCCTGAACCCCATCTCCAAGCTGCCAGTTACACTCACAACCAAACACTCAATATATTTTTACCAAAGCTGAGTGGTCCATTACAGCCAGTTCCTGGAGAGAGTTCAGCAGTTGTTGGCACTGGAATGTCTCCAGGTTTGAATAAGGCAATGCGTTACAAGATGAGGTTCATATTCCAGATTTATCTGGGATTGATAAACATGTGTAACCACATTTTTTTATCAAACACAACAGAAGACGTTTTTCATCTCCGAATTCATCCGAAGATGTTATTCCAGCACCGTCAGGCTTTACGTCTGAAGGTACATCAATAAAACACTATCTTAGAATAACCTGACTTAATAGACGGGCTTTTATAGACCCATCTATCGTGTCTATCTACAATCCTACTTACTTTTCTATCTGTATGTCTAACAGCCCGCCTGTCTACCTTCGCGACTATCTATTACAGTAGGATGGATTTCTACAACTTCAATTTCCCCAGCTCTTTCTTGTTCAAGATGTCTCACACATGTTGCTAATGCAATTCTCGTCTGAAACATCATCCTTTTTTATGAGACGCCATAAAAGTTTCGGATGCTGAATTATGCATCCCCATACTCGTGGACTTGTAGTCTAGCCACCACGACAACCGCTATGATCCAGGAGATGTTGTAGTAAGCCCCTAATCAATAGGGCGGTCCCTTATGGGGCGTCCTTCCTCCATGTCAAACGGCGACCCTGCGTTTGTCTCGCCGAATAAAGACAATCTATTATGCATTCCTTAGGATGCTCTGACGTCACGGACACGAGTTGAAATGAAGGTTTAATCACCACTTGAACGGAGCCATTTATGCCTGATAGTTACCGTGCTCATTCATTTAACCGTGGAGGATTGGAATTTTTATGTGTTCTTGTTTAAACGTCACAGCATGTTTCCAAGTTTGCTTATTTCTCCAAGGCAAACTTGTACGGTTGACCCAAGGAATGCCAATATTCCAGATGGACTGTTTCCGTTTTCCTTCAGAACCGTGTTAACGTATTGCAGTTTGGTTTTCTCCCGCTAGAAACCTCCTTGTCATTGCCTTTTAATCCCAGGTCTGATTATGTTTGGATTACAATTAAAAAACGTATTACTTGTCGTTGCTTCAAATATAACTCGTCATCCATTAATCTGAAGTTCTCTGAAGTTGCATTTCAACCAATTATCCCAGAAGATTTTGTCAGCAGCTGTTCGCATTTGTCATTATCATACTGTAACTTGGGTCGCGTGAAAAAGAATCTAATGGAAATAAAATGAAAGAAATTATTCCCCGCGGTGCATTAACAAAGACTGTTGATCCATCATTTCAAACAGGTTCAATCTTTTCAGTTTTTACGATGGTCTCTACAGAGATGAAGTGGGACGAGATGGAGAGGAGCGCACCTGGAATTTGTAATCTGGAAATAAACGAGATAGCTAGTTCAGTAACAAAAAATAAAGTTTGATTAACAATTACAACCAAGTATTTCAAATGATTTCAAATTCTTAAGAGTCGTATCAGCCTGTACATTTGGTTGCATTTCCAAATGTGTCATGACTGTTACTCGGAAGCTTTTAAGGATTCGGCCAGTTCTTTCATCTTCCGAAATAGAATGTAAACGGGCTCACGTGTGTAGCTTCAAAATGGAGAGATGCACGCATCTTAAATGTGCAATTTTATAATGGACTACATTGCTACACGATCAAAGGGTTTATTGCG